CCCCGCTGCAAAAGATACCTGTGTCGTAATCCCTGGAACCCGTGAGTATGACAAAAAAAGGCTTTGAAGATGTGAATAAGAATCTTGAGGTGGGGGTTTTTCTGGATGGGTCCTAAATACAATCACAAGGGGGAGGAGAAAGAAGGCAGTGTGACCACCGAGGCAGAGAATGGCAGCAGCCAGCAGAAACTGGAAGCGGCATGGAGTGGATTCTCCACAGAGCTCCTGGAGGGAGCGCAGCTTGGTCGACATCTTGATTTTGGCCCAGTGATAAAGATTTTGAACTTTTTGCCTCCAGAACGGTGAAAGGATAAATTTCCGTTGTCTTAAGTGGCTACGTGTGTGGTAATTCGTTGCAGCGTCCATAGAAAACTGATACAGAAAGAGAGGGGAATCAAATGGTTTCTGCTTACCTGTGTACTCTCGCATTCTGTTTGAATGTGAGACATCCTTACGATTTACTGTTAGACTTCTGTAACCGTCAGGATTTTGTATTCAAAACTTTGACCACTCCTTCTCTTTTAAAACAGTAACCTTCTACCTTAAGCACAATGGCGTTGTATAAACTGAAGACACCGGTCAGTAAACGAAAGGCTTGACTTCTGCTCTCAGCTATACTGCTTACTAGCTGGGTATCTCTGAGTAAATCGCTTATCCATTCTGAGTATCATTTGAACAATGGGAATCATATTACCTGTTTTTCCTAATCCACATGAATTATTATGAGTATTTAATGATATAAATACATGTGGAAAATAATGCTCAACTATGAATTATGCTCCCTCAACCTATAGCAAAGTCATCATGAGCAATTTTGGCCGTACATCACTGAACCCATGAAACATTTTTCTCCCTTAGATTAGATGCTACAAGTGGAATTTGGGGTTCCAGTTTTTGAACATGTTCAAGATCTGGGTACATATTGACTGTTTCTCTCCAGAAAGCCTGCACACTTGATCCTCTCATTGGAAGCACACAAGTGCTCATTTTACTGCACTGTTACCTCAGGGAGTTTTTTAAAAAAATATATTTCAAATGTCATGCCAACTTAATGAAAATCATTATTTGTATTTCTTTGGCAAGGTGTAACTTTTTTTAATATTCTCCTTTGCCATTTGTATTGTTCTTTAATGAATTGCTTGTGTTCTTTGACCATTCTTCCAGTAGTTATTTGTCCTCCTCCTTACCGATCTTTAGAAACCCAGTATTCTTTTTATTTCATATTTTTAATTTTTAAAATTGTGGTGAAATATACACAACATCAGATTTAGCATCTTAATTATTTTAAGTGTCCAGTTAAGTGGCACTGAGTACATGCATATTGTTGTACAGCCATCACCACCATTCACTTCCAGAACTCAGAAACCCAGTATTCTTAAATTAGTTAACCTTTGCTGTGTGTTTCTTCACTAGTTTGTTTTGTTGTTTACCTTTTACTTTTGCTTATGATGACTTTTGGTGTACAGTGTTTAACATTTGTATGTTGTCAAATTTAGTGACCTTTGTTATGTTTTCCTCCCTCCCTCCCTCTCCTCTTTTCTTACTTCCCTTCCTCCCTTTTCCCCCTCCTTCCTCCCATCTTTCCCTCTGGAAAGCCTTTCCCATTTGGCAGCTTTTATTGATTTTTTTTTACATATGTAGGTTTGCCCTCAGTTGGCAGTAAAACATATTTGAAATCTAGACTCTTGTCAAATAACTTAATCTTAAATCGTCTGTTACCAAACTTTGTAAAAAAAATTTGAGAGAAAAAAATACTCTTCAGAGATGATTGCCTGAAGTATACACTGAATCTTAATTCTGGGGAGAGTCCTAATGCAGCATAAGGCCTTTGCTTCCAGCCCGGTAATTACACCTTCTCTAACTCTCAGTCCCTTCTCATTTATCATTAGTGTGTGCAGAAGTTGAAGCAGAGGAAACAGAGACTCAGGTTGTTTGCGCCTTATCCTGTTACCACTAGCTCCTTCCTCTATATCATCCTCTGCACCCACATTGCCCTTAAGAAGGATAATAATTCTACCACTAATAAGTGCTAGCCCAGTGTAGCTTAACATGCCTAACATTTTACAGACATTATCTCAATTAACTGCCACAAGAGCCATACAAGATAGGAAATACTATTATTGTAATTTTACCAATGAAAAAAATGGTTGCTTTGAGAGGTAAAGTGGCTTGTCCAGTATAGCACATTGATTGTATGTGGAGGAATGAGACATCAGTTCAAACTCAGACCTGATTGCAGAACCGACCTTTTAACTGGTATTCTTTCCATGTATACACACACACACACATCACACACACACACACACACACACACACACACACACACATCACACACACACACACACACACACACACACACACACAACATATATACACACAAACTTCCCCACCTGGTTTCCTGATGGTTATGTGGCAATATTTCCATTCACTCCTGTCATTGATACAGTAAAGGAAGCAAACAGAGTAGATTAAGCAGACTAGCAACTTCTAAGATACTGAACTGAAATATTTTGGAGTAGATTTATAACTTCTCTCATTCTTGAAACGTCTAATGACATTTTGTCCTCATTCCTCTCAGCTCAAGCATCTCACGGGTGTAATGTGCTCTGAGCAGGGGAGGTCAAGTGAAGATAGAGGCCGGAGACAAGTGGGTTGGTCTTATTTGGCGATTGTAATAAATGGTCTGTGTTACAGTCTGTGATTGAAGGCAGCTTGCTGTGGTGGGGGAGATTGAGCCTGGGAGAGCTGCTTTAAAAACTGGTAGTCTTTTGTTAGTATTTGGATGATTAATCATTCTACTTTCTGTTAAATTTTAAACAGAGTGAGAAATTAGGTCAATGGGAACAGTTCTCCTATTTCTTTCTTTGAAAAATTTGGGACAGTGACAGCCTTCAATTTCCTAGGGTTATTTTGCTTTTATATTCATATCTATCAATTATTTAGAGCTTAAGAAGCCGGCAAAAAATAGGGACTGTGTGCTGTTGCCTTCTGGGGTGGGTGAGAGTACAGTTCTCTGGTCACCCCATGAGCGCCTGACTGTCGTGGCCCTTGTCAGATGCTCAGCGCCTACTCAGTGCCTGGCATGATACATTTTTGATCAAAGTACTGCTTGGAATGGATGGAGTGGGGGAAGAATAAGGATCAAGCAGAGAGAACAGTTTGGAACCAGGCTTCCAGGCAGGTTTGGGGATGATTGAGATAGCGCAGTTGTCCCATTAAAATGGGCTCTAACAAAGGCTTGTGTTTGTGATTATTTGCAGGAAGATTACCACTTTGAATATACAGAATGTGATAGCAGTGGCTCCAGATGGAGAGTTGCCATTCCGAATTCTGCAGTGGACTGCTCTGGCCTGCCTGACCCAGTGAGAGGCAAAGAATGCAGTACGTTTTGACTTTTTGACCACTTGTTTTCCTGATTAAACCATAAGCCCTTCACATGAGCCCGAGAAGTTCCTTGTAGTGCATATATAAAAGACCTTTGAAAAAAAGAACATTGATCTAGCAGAGCAAAAGCATCCTTTCTCAACACTCAGTGCCCTTATGTCTGGTCTGTAACGAGACACAGGCAATATTAAAGGGTGTTATTTTTATTTATTTGTTTAAAAAATCTGGTTTACTGCCTTACTTGAAATTCTAAAGGGCAGAGTGGCAGAATTTCTATTTGATAGATTTCTTTTTTTCTTTACATTTTAAGAGACTTTTCAAACATTTTGGATACACGTAGTAATGTTTGGTACACATAATATTGTTAAACACATTACATAAAATGTACCATCATAATCATTTTTAAGCGTACAGTTCAGTGGCATTAAGTACAGTCGCATTGTTGTGCTTTCATCACCAGCACACATACACAAGCTTTCATCCGGCAATGGATTTCTTTTTTTTTTCTTGCCATAGAAATATTATAATTTGACTTCATAGTGTAACATACAGAGAGAGTAGAGAATTGATGACTGTCACTTTCAGTAGCTTGTCTTTTAGCAATTAAGTAAGTTTGAAGTGCAACATTTTGAATTAACAGAAATATGTCATGAAATTTATTTTCATTTATAAAGTCTACTTTTTAAAATCCTTGAATTTGGTGAGTCACAGGTTCCTGCAGTGAAGTCATCTTGGGGTGTCCTAGAGTTCAAAGCTGGAATAAGACAGAGAGATTACTTTGGTTTTCCTATAGCCTTCCAAATGGTATTCCTAAAAGCTGAGTTCTTCTGTTCCCAAATGAAAGAGCAGATAAGCAAATTAATTAAATGGGGAGCTAATTCCTTCCTCTTCATAGAGAAACTGTATCTCTGTTACCAGCTGGAGGGGTTTTAGCATAGGTGTGGGTGTACTGATAAAAGAGAGACAGGAAGACGGCAAGTCTTAGGAGGAAAATCAAGGAAGAAAGCCATTATTTCTTGCTGAATGATATTAAATGAATACAGAGAGAACCTAAGAACCCAGGTAACCAGAGAAAGACTTGGGTCTAGCAAGAATCTTAAGAGGATAGTGGGGTCAGTGGATATGAAGATGATCCAGGGCTGGGGTATATGTGACCACCTGTGCAGAAAGAGGACCAGCTCTCAGTGAGGGAGGATTGCAGTTAAAAGGGCAACAGCCTGAGTATTGCCTGTGGAATTAGCTCATTGCAAAATTGCTTCTGTCACCCTCCTAGAAAATCTGTATATCATTTATCTATATTTACCTTTTACCTGTGGGCTTATTCCTCAGTTCCTTGTAAACAGCCCTATTGAGGTGGAGTGTGTAACCATTTTGAATACTACTCTGTATCTAAGTGGTGTGCTGCTGTTGGCTGGCACTGGCTTTTGAGAACTCATTGTTCCTCTGAAATGGGCCATGGTGGAGTATTTACACCATGAGAATTGGCAAACACTACAAATCAGGTGCCTCTTGAGAGCCGGTTGCTCAACACTTACCAGGACACTAGTGATTAAATTTATTGGCCAAGGGTTTAAAAATCTGTTTAAGAACTGATGCTTCAGTGCAAATTATTTCTATTTGAATGTTGCCAGGGATGTTTTTGCTCATTATTTACTATGATCTTCCACAGATGATGTTACGAATTTGACATGCCAGCAGCTTGAACTGCTCTAAGAACTTGGTCTAGTAAACTCACTCTTAGTTGTTTATCACTTTAAACGATGATAGTACTTACTTTAAAAACGATACCCGGAAATGATACTACTTATGTGATGGCTGGGGCATTTTTTGTCTTGGTAGTTTGTCTGAAATCTGAATTTACACGTATGTTTGTGTCGTATACTTATATCAGCTCTGGAAGTTATTAGTCTGGCCTCTGATTGTGACTTTTTTTTTGTATGGTAAAGGCAAGTTATTTTGAAACTCACTGCTGAAGGCGGTAATGGTAATAAGTGAATATTCCTTCAGTGGCTTAGATTTTCTACTGCTAGTAATAGCTACCATTTCTCATATACAGATTACATGCTAAACATTGTGCTTGGAGCTTTGCATCATTTTCTGTTGTATCCTCACAACAGCCGTCTCAGATAGCTAGTCTTAGTATTTCCACTTTACTGATGAGAAAACTCAGACTTAAAGTGGTGAAATAAGTTATTGCAGGTCAGGTCACATAGCCAGGACATGGCAGATCTGGGGTTCAAGTACAGACATGTTTGATTCCAGAGCCTGTCTCTTACCCACTGAGTTAGATTGCCACTTGAAGATGACAGCCTGGAGGAGCTTCCAGGGCCCCATTGGGGTGGGGATGGTGTGGCCCAGCAGTTGGGCCACATAAAAGAAAAGAAAAACGCGGAACGCGGCAGCTTCAAGTAAGCGAAAAATATTTAGGGCGATGGTTGTGTGAGACATAATTTCCCCAGATTCTAGTGTCTCTCAGTGAAGCAAAACCCAGAATGTGGCCTCGGTGGAAATTCCTGTAGTCTCCAAAATGTAATTAGCTAGATCTTTCCCCCTTCCTCAGAAAGCAGCAGTAGAGGAGGCCTTTCCTTAGGAAAGGGATTATGGGAATGTTTATGTAGCACCTGTGCATTTTTTTAAATAGAATTGATGGGCAAGCTATATTATATCTTTATTTAAAAAAAATCATGTAAAATCTGGCTACAAGGCTATGAGTGAAGTTAATGAGAAGTCAGGCATCAGTTTTTGCTGTGATGTATGTGAGCTGTGATGTATGTGAGTTTTTGCTGTGATGTATGTGAGCTTGAGGCTTGCTGCCCTCCGGAAGTGGGATGGAGAGACCTCTGGTTATTAAGTGACGCAGCGTCTCATTGTCCTGCTGTCCCCCTGCTCTGGAAACCTCTTAGGCAGTGCTGCCGTAGGCCACTGAAATGACTTCATCTCGCTCCTTCTCTCTGCTGGCTCCAGGCTTAGCTCCAGGGAACTTTGCTGCTTCTTCCAAGCCCTGGTGCTGAGTCTCATGTCCGTGGGCATCACTCAGGCACAGCTTGCAGGTAGCATGTCATTCCTGAACACAGCACTCATTGCCTCCTCCCAGAACGAGGGGATATAACCCCTGTTCTGACACCATCCCATCTCCACTGCTGCGTCACTTCCCTCTTGCATGAGAGTTTAAAAAATCATCCCTTGACTCTCTGGGTGTCCTCTTGACTTTCTTAGATTGTCAAAAACAGTAGTCATTTTGGAATGGTTGCCTGGATGGGGTACCTTCTCTCTCTCCTCCTTCTCTCCCTTCTCTCTTCTCTCACCAAGCACAGAGGGGAAAAGGGACCTTTTGTTTCAAACCAAACCTTAGAAATAAAAGCCTGGCTACTAGGAGTGAGGAGAGAATTCCTTTACCTATTGCCTTACATATTTTCAGAGTAGTCTAGAGCACCGAAGGGAAATAAACATAAGTTATCTCTTCCTTTGGGGAGTGTGTATCTTCTATCGCTTACTCCTTCCCGTATTTCTTGGCCCATGACTTCAACCTTAACACATCATTTTCTAATTGGGGATGACTATTGAAGATATTTGTAATCCCATTTAGTATGTTAGCATCAAGTTATAGTATTGTGGGCATTGTTTAATCTTGTACTTCAGTATTTATATAAACTAATATTTGGTTCTTAGATTAAGAAATGCAGTATACAGATTAGAAGAAAAACCCTTGACTACAATTGTTTTCCTTTTTCCATTGTGTCTGTCTGCTCTATTGTCATAACCTACATTTCATGGGCCTTAAGGAGTAAGCAGAGGTGACAGTTTGAGTCAACATCTTTTGGTTCTAGTTTGCAGTTGAAAGAGAGGAAGGATTCTCATGGAAAGAGAGTTGACATTAGCTTCCTGGGTGGGATGTTTAAAAATCCAGTTTTGGGGGCATCATAGCTCTTTGAAATGTAGGCTCTTCCGCAGGATTCAATACCTAGCCTATTTCAGTTGTTTAGCGTTGTTATTGGCATGGCAGCCAGTGCATCTAGGCAAATTGAGTACGTTGATATTGAATGGTGATTGCGTATCATGCTGGAAGTCTGTTCTGTGGAATACTCATCCCAAGAAATATTTCATGTAAACAAAAAAAGCGTGTTGAGGTTTTTTGTCGTGAAATACCAATACTTTTAAAAAATGGTGAATGCTGCATCCCCTTGATGGAGGGATGCAGTCCACATTTCCATAATAAAGTCTCTGAGAAACATGGTAATTATTTATAGAACATTTACTGTGTGTTAACTGCATTCTGTTTTACCCAGAGTTTCCCTAGTATATTTGGTTATAGAACTCTTTTATCCAATGTGTAGTTGCACCCCTTTGCTAATTTCTGCATATAACGTTTTTGGAGGAACACAGATTTAAATATACATGGCATGCTAATTTAGTAAATTTTTATACATTGTTACTTGTGCTATGATTTAACTAATTTCATACAATTTCTTTGCTCTGTAAGTCTCAGTGAGAGCATTACCACATGGGTGTCCAGTCCCAGGCCTCCCACAGTTCGTGGTCAGGTGTGATATACACCTCAGATGAAACCCCAGATCCGCAACAGACTTGTATGTCTTGAGCAAAATATTTAGTCCACAGGTATTTATTGAGTTTTAATTCGTTCACTAAACATTTGTTGAGTATTTCCTAAATTCTTGATGATCGGGATCCAAAAATAAATGAACAAGAGATTCCTGTTTTCTCCAGGACTTTTTATTCTAGTAAGGGAGCCCGTGGGTAATAAATTATTTCTAGTATAGGGGCAAAGTGCAAGATAGATACAAATACCTAGGGTGATCTTGCCGGGGAGGGAGGAGTCAAGAGGACCTCACAGTGAAGCAGGTGTGAGTTTGAAATGCAGACTGAATCACCTTGGAAAGTTATCTGCCCCCTGGCACGTTGATGTGAAGAACTGCGCCCTGACTTCGAGTTGAGACAGGGATTAAATGCCATACTTAACGGGCCGTACGTGTTAATTT